GCGAGCCCCCGCGGGGTTCCTCCATGCAAAGTCCTTGCCCAGGGTGAACATGTGCGGGCCCACCGCCAGGCGCCACACGATGGCCGCCTCCGCGACCGCGAGCACACGATGGCCTCGTCGGAGACCGCGGCCACGGCAGCTGGCCCACGCACGACACAGGCACTCGGCGGGCGCGGCGGGCGCGGCGCTTGGCGCCGCATTTTGCCGACCAGGCGTTGGCGGGGCACCCTGCTGCGGCCTGCGGTGGCGGGAATGCCGTCAGCAACCTTCCTCGCTGACGAGTTCGCGAAGCAACCCATCAAAGTGGGCCAACGACAAGGTGTCGGAGACTGGATACTCCCACTGGGTCACACCAGCGCCGCGGTTGAAGAAGTAGGTGTCGCCTGATCTCTCATCCACTGCACTCTCCCATCCTGCAGGGAGCAGCTGCGGGGCGGCGCGCGTCGCGCCGCCGCGCCTCCCCGAGAGCGGCGGCTCCGTCGGCACCACGCCCGAGAACGCAGTGAAGCGGTTCGCCTCGGCGTCATGCGCGCCGACGCCGCAGGTCGACTCAGGAGCGCGCGGGCTTGGCCCCGAGGAGGCCGCGGCCTCCTGGGCGGCAGCAGACGTAGAGCACTCAAGGGATGGCTCCCTGGAGGCCCAGGGGGTTGGGCAGCGGAGGCGAGGCCTGCAATGCCCGTCAATCTCCGCAGTGAGAGTCACACATGCATCTTGTCGCTCGGGCTGTTTGCCTTCTCGGCGAAAGCGGCGGCGCTCGGCGGGCGCCTCAGCGAGCGCGGCAAAGCCGGGCGGCTCCGCTGGGGGGAAGACTGCCGGCGTGCCCCCAACTCCTTCGGCCGCGCCCTCCCGCACCTCCAGCTCCTCGTCGCTCGAGGGTGCCTCGAAAAGCTGCTCCACGAATGCCTTCTCAATTGACTCCTCCAGGTTTCCCTCTACTTTCTCGCAGGACGACGTCTGGGCCTCCAGCCTGACCCTGCTGAGCGCTGCCACTGCCGCCTCTTCTCGAACGAGTGCATCGCAGACTGTATCTGATGACGTTTGGCCCAAAGTAGCACCACTGCCGACTGCCACTGTCTCTACTTGCAGGTCCTTCACCGAAACACCAAACTCGAAGCTGATGGCGTCGGGCCTCTTGGGCCCCTTCTCGCATTGACGGCCCTGCTGCCACTGGCGGCCATTCTCAGGCCTCTCCTGCCGCTGACGCCCCTTCTCGCACAGATCTTCACTGCGAGCGCGGCGGCGCTCGGCGGGCGCCTGATGCCCCGAGCCTGCAACCCAACCATTATTGAAGGAAAGGCGAGAAGAGGAGGCAGAATTACACGAAAGTGAAGATGCACCGTGTTGTTTGTGCCGAGCGCTTTGCGCACGCTCAGGTTTTGCACGCTTTGCACGCGCCAGGTTTTGGCAAGTTACTGCATCGCAACACGCCTGGCTTGTGATTGCACCGCCCTCCGCCGATGGACAACCAACAATGCAGCTGATGGCATCGGGATCGTGCTTCAATGAACCACCACCCCTGAAGCTGACGGCATCGGGCTCGTGCTTCGGAGCACCGCCGCCCACGTGGCTTATGGTGTCGGGCTCGTACTCTGCAGGGCCTGCTGCAGCTGCTCGCCGCCCTCGCCAACCTTCTTGAGCCCATCGCTTTCCACCCTGTCCCCTGCGGGGCAGGGACCATAGAGCGGGCCTGGCTCGCCTGCGCCAGACGCCGAGCTGATGACGTTGGGCTCCACTGCCTGCCACTTCTCGCATTCCACCCTGGCCCCCGCAGCGCAGGGGTCATGGGGCGGGCCTGGCTCGCCTTCACCAGTAACCAGCCTGATAACGTTGGGCTCCACTGCCTGCAGCTTGTCGCAATCCACCCTGCTCCCCGCCACGCGGGGGTCCTGAGGCGGGCCTGGCTCGACTTCGCCTGCCGACACTTGCCGCCCAGCGCTGGACCTGAAAATATCGGGCTGCACTTCTCGAGTGGGAATGTTGTGAAGAGGAAGAGAACCACGGAAGAGAGAGTGAGGCCCCAAGAATTCGCAATCCTCCATCCAGGCTTCGAGGCCTGGTAGAATTCCGAATGCTGGGAAGAGCATGCATGCATCTGCGTCCAAGTTGGTACTGAGCTGGCTATCCTCTTTACCAGCCTCACCACACGCGCTATCGCATGCCTGGGCTGGCGCAAAGACGGGAGCTGAAGGATTAAACTGAGACCAGTGGGTGGCCTTTGCACTGCAACCGACGCTGATTCTACAAGCAGCTCTCCATAAGACGCATATGTCATGCGGATTGCACCTGAACTTCCTAGTTCTGCACGCATAGCCCAGCCTCCTCATTGCTTTTGTAGCCGCACTTTGCGGCCTCCACACGGAACGCGCGGGTAATATCTCGTGGCCAGGCATCTCAGAAGAATACACGGCAGAGACGAAAGAGGCAAGATCGAGAGATCAATGAGACTCCATCGTTGCGGGCCAAGCCGAGCGGGGCTGGCCGCGCGGGGTCACCCTGCGGGGCGGCGGGCGCGCGGTGGGGGGGCGCCGCGCCCCGTTTCGATTACGGCAACGCCTCCTCGCCTTCCTCCTTCTCCTCCTCCCTCCCTCTCCGGGCGGCACAGCCTGCCCAGAGCCGGCTTCGCCAGACAGCGTGGAGCCATTTTGTGCGTCTTGGAGCGATCTTGTGGCATCTCGGAGCTCTCTTGTATCTTCTTGAGGGGCTCTTGGCGGCCTTTTGGCCTTTCTTAGGGCTCTCTGGACGGCCTCGAGGGCGACGCCCAGGAGGAAAACCATATCTGACCCGCAGCGCCCGGGCTTCGCCTGGGGTACTTTTCTTCTGCGGACCCCCAGGGGCCGCCCCGCGCGGGCTAAGTTGAGTCATTGTAAAGCAGTTACCGGAGATCTTAGCACGCCTCTGGCCCGCTGGGCCGGCGAATCTATGATATGTAGCACTCCGCAGTTGCGGACAAGAGTGAGGGGGCGGGCGCGGAGTTGGTCGCGGGTGAGTCGCGGGGGGGTCTCGAGGGTAGCGGGTGGATCGCGGGTGGGTCGCGGGGGGGTCGCGGGGTGGGTCGCGGGGTGGGTCGCGGATGGGTCGCGGGTGGGTCGCGGGTGGGTCGCGGGTGGGTCGCGGGTGGGTCGCGGGATGTGTCGCGGATGGGTCGCGGGTGTGTCGTGGGTGGGTCGCAGGCAGGGTCAAGAAGGGTGAGACAACGGCAACAAACAACGCAGCAACAAGAACACCAACAACAACAGTAGCAACAACAACAATCATATTAATAAGGGTCGTTCCTACTTGTTCGCGGCTCATTCAGCACGTCTATCCCAAACCCTCGGTACCCGCCCGAAGGAGGATGGAACTCGAGAGAGAGTAGCAGGAGGTGGGCTAGGAACAGAAAACACGTGGCATAACCAAGCGGGCAGATTGGACGGGTAGCCTCTAACGGGCGGGCGGGGAAGGCGGGCCCAGGCCGCCAGGTCGAGCAGGCGGGTTGTTGAAGCGTGCGTCCTGCATGAATCGCGAGGTAGTCCAGAGCGATAGCGCTATTCCCAAATAAACCGTCAAGAATTTCGCAGCGAGAGCGCGAGTCCTGGGTGTGGAAGGCGCGGCGTTTGAATACATTGCGAGGAAATGCCACGCGAGAGCGCGATTCCTGCATACAATGTGAGCACGTCCCGCGCGAGAGTGCGATGGGGGAGTCACTTGGGAGGAAGTACCAGGCGGGAACCGCTGTTGTTGTAGTCCAGGGGCCAACACCGCAGGTGCAGGCCTTGGGAGAAGCATTTTAGTTGAACGCATCGAATGGTTACTGCGCAAGGTGGTCAACGATACGTATTCTTCAGAAGTACTAGTTCATCATCAACAAGAACAGTCTGCACCGCGGAACCTTTTTTTAGCTACGCGCCCAGGGACAGTGAATGACCTTTCGCCCCCTTCACTCTGATGAGTAATGTCCGCGCCCCCTCGTGGAAAGTATGCACTTTGTGTCCGCGCATGTTTTTGATGATGATTGTATAGGTCCGGAACATTCCCCTCACAGAAATCGAAGATTCCAATGTTTCGTGATATTGGTAATTCTGCGGGGGATCCTAATTGCTTCCTGGAGTGCGTGTGTGTGTGTGTGTGTTGTTGGCCTTGGTGCTGGTGCGACCTACCTGTGCCGGGGCATCGGCGGCTCAGCCCTTCGCTCGCGCCACAATCGCGGGTCTCTTTTCTTTCTCATCATGTCGCATGAGCCACGAGTTAGCACCCATGCTTCTGCGACCTCCAGATTTCTCGGGGTGGAATTCTTGGGTGGACTATGGGCGTATGCTGTCGGATGGGGTTTCCCGCTCGAACGGGAGCACCCCGCGTGGCCCGACGACTCGCACCCATGCCTACAGCACTTTCATCGCCCTGCCCTCCTCCATTCCCCTGCCCTTCTGTCAACATCTACAAGCACACCTTCCCTTCGCCTCCCCGCCATCCTCATCCCATCCCTCGCCGTCTCCACCCTGTCCCTCTCCCCGCGTCCGTCGCCTCGCGCCTCCGCCCCCCGGCCTCGGGCAGACAGCAGCGCGCAGTCCGAAGGTGGGGCTTTTCTATGCGGGAGGCCTGGCGGCATTTCTGGCGGTGCGCGGGGCCCCCTTCGCCCGATCGAAACGTCCGGCACGCAGCAGTTGCTGCCACTGTCCCGAGCGACCCCGCCCTCCAGCAAAGGTGAGCGGAATGGGAGGCAAAGGTGATGAAGGAGGGGAGCGGCGGTGACGACGAGGGGATAAGAGAGGGCGGTCGGAGGATGATAATACTATTCTTTTGGTAACGCCCGAAAGGCTTGCCACATCATTGTCTTCTCCTCCTCTTCCAATTCTTTCTCCTCTTCCTCGTGCTCATCCGTCCTTCTTCTGCTTGTCCTCCTTCTCCTTCCTTCCTCCTCCCTCCCTCCCTCCCTCCCTTCCTCTTTCCCTCCTGCTCTTTCCTCCTGCTCCTCCCTCCTGCTCCTCCTTGTTCCTCTTTCCCTCCCTTCCTCTTGCGAACGTGCTGGGTGGGAACGTTCAACCTCCTCCTGTTCCTTCTCCACTTTGGCTCCGCAAGCGGAGCTGGCGGTCCCGTTCATCGTGGTGGTGGGGTTCGTGATGCTGTCCCTCTTCAGCGGCGTCTGGGTTGACCACATGAACGACATGAGGCTGAAGGAGGAGAAGGAGACGCAGCTGCAGGCCATCCACGAGGCGGAGAAGGCCAACAAGACCTTCCAGACGATCTTCGGCGAGTCGGACGACAGCCCGATGGCCGTCACGAACACCATCGACGAGGATGAGTTCGCGGTCCTCCTGACGCAGCCTCAGTACAAGGAGGCCGCGGCAGTGAGCGAGATGAACTTCACCCGCTCGGAGGCTAGAGAGCTGTTCGCCTTGTGGGACAGGGAACAGGACGAGCGGCTCAGCTGGAGCGAGTTCCGCGAGGGCCTGGAGGAATACCGCGAGGGCCTCACCGTCAAGAAAATCCTGGTGATGAAGTCACAGGAGCTAGTTTCTTGTATTCGCCCCGCCCCTCCCCTCCCCCCCCCTCCCCTCCCCCCCCCGTCCCCTCCCCTCCCCCGTCACGTCCATGACCGGCCCCGCCCCTCCCCTCCCCCCCCCCGTCACGTCACGTCACGATTCGCGCCAGTGCAGTGTGGGAACTAGCCGTTCGCAAGAATTCCCAAACGGCGCTGGCGCGAATCGTGACTACAGGCCCCCTCGCCCCCCTCTCCCCCCCCGGTCACGTTTGTGCTCGCCAGGGGATAATATTGTTCCCCAGCTGAAGAAGCTAGTGCACTCGCTCGAGAGCGGCGGCGAAGGCGGGCGGAAGTTCCTGCCCCTCCTCCGGGCCTCGCCCGGGGTGGAGCACCAGCTGGAGCAGGCCGACGCAAGGCTGCGTGCGTGCGAGGAGAGGATGCTCGCGTTCGAGGACCAGGCCCGGGCGCCAGGGCTCGACCTAACCAGTCCTAGGCCTCCAATGTGGGTCCGGAGGACCGCGCCCGACCGACGATGCATTAGCGTTGCATCGCTGATGCATCGGCGATGCATTGGCGATGCGGCTCGATCATCCGAGCCCATCTACTCGGACCCCCATCTAGCCTCTAGCGCTGTTTGGGGATTCCGTGGGCCTTTTCGTTTCGGGCTCGTGATGTAGCAAAGGTGGAGCGACGACGAAACGAGGGAACACGAAGACACAGCGAACACGCACAAGTAACACTTTTTGGGTCGAACCCTGCTGGGCGCTGTTTGAGGTGACGGCCTCCCTGGTCCCCATGGGGTGGCTCCAGCCACCGGCCTCCAGCGCTCCCCTCAGCGAGGCCCCATGGGGGGTCCAAAAGTGGCGCACAGGGCTGGGGGCACCCTGGGGGCCCAGCGCCATCCCTCCCTAGCAGACCCCGGCTCAGGTCAAGGTGGCGCAGAAGCTTTGCGCCAGGGAGGCGTCTCTGTGCTCGCCGTTTTCCGCGTGCAGCGGCGGGAGCCCGTAGGTGAGCCCGCCGAGCCACGGCACCCTCCCCCTCCAGGCCGCCGAGATGGGGTCGACTTAGATGGGGTCAGAGGATGGCGCCGCATCGCCGACGCATGGGCGATGCGGCTCGATGTGGAGCCCGATGTTTTCCATGCCGGCGTCGCCGATGGATCGCCCATGTTTCGGCGATGCGTCGGCGACGCGGCGCGATCCTCCGACCCATCTACTCGGACCCCATCTGGGAGCCCTCTCATCCACCAGGAGGGAGGGGATGAGGAGAAGGGGGGACGCCGGAAGGGAGGAGGCACGGGAGTGAGGGTTCAGCCCTCCGATGTCCCGATCTTGGTCAGCGCTCGGGCCACAGAGTTCTCGACCCAATCACCGAGGCCGCTATGTCGTCCTCGGCAGTTTTTGTGGTGGTCTCGGAGCCAAGGAAACGACATCCCCCCATCCTGGGGCTCGGCTGGACTTTCAGCGCGCCAAGGGGAACTCAGCCGTGTCGACGAGAAGCCTCCCTGCGGCACAAGAAGGGCAACGACGGCTGAAATGACCTCGATCCGAGACCGAGGAGGCGGAGGACAGTGAGGGAGGAGGAGGGGAGAGGAGGGGGGGGGAGGGGGAGGGGATGGGAAGGATGATGAGGGGGGGCAAAGTTGTAGTCGATGAAACCGCAAACCTGCCACAAACCAGAACAAGGCGCGTGGATTGGCCATGCGTCCAGCTGCCGTGCAAAGTCGACGTGCTCCGTCGCCAAACCAGGCCGCGCCGGCCCCAGATTTCGGGAAGGTGTTCTCCCCGAGCCGTGGATCTGGCGGCCTGGTGCCAGACCCGCGGAGCCGCAGCTCGTGTCAGCGCGTCCCTTCCAGCGGGGGGGGCATCTGTTTGGACCGCTGCATTGGTGCATTGGTCACTGCAACGGCACCTCTCTGTGACCGAACTGCACGAATGCCTGCAGGAGAATGCGGGTACGTGCTCCCAACCATCTCGTGGCGAAGGGTCCTCGTTTTGGAGAGGCAGCGCCCTGCGTTCACTCCTTTCTCCAACTGCCCCTTCCTCCCTCCTCTCATCCCTGGCTCCTCGTCCCTGCCTCTGCTCTCCGCAAGTCAACCATGTCGGCACACCCCTCACACGCTTTGTGGCCCCAGGAGGGTGGTGTCGCATGCGGTTATCCACCCATGTCGGCACACCCCGCACACGTTCCATGGCCCCATAGGGAGCTCCGTCGAAGCCCCTAGAATGGTGGTTTTGCATGCGTTTCTCTACCCGTGTCGGCACACTCCTCACACGATGTTGTGCCCCCAGAGGGAGTTTCCTTCACCCATCGGAGGTTGGCTTCGCATGTGGTTCTCCGCATATTTCGGCACACCCCTGGCACGTTCCGTGGTCCCACATGGAGCTCCACCGACGTCCCCAGGAGGGGGGGTCGCATGCAGTTCTCCTTCCATGTCGGCGCACCCCTCACACGTCACGTGGCCCCACAGGGAGCTCCACCGAGGCGCTCAGGAAGAGGGTTTTGCATGCGGTTCTCCACCTATTGAGACACACCCGTCGCACGTCTTGTGGCCCCATGGGGGACTCCACCGGGCGCCAGGGAGGGTGTTTTCGCATGCTGTTCTCGGCCTGTTTCGGCACACCCCTCACACTTTTCGTGGCCCCACAAGGAGCTCTATCAGAGTCCCCACAGGCAGCCCCACCGAAGGCCCCAGTGGCAGGGCTGGCATTCGTCCCCGTTCCCATTTCGGCACACCCCTCACGTATCGTGGCCCCATGGGGGCTACACCGAAAGCGGTACCCACAATCGCTGCACTAAACATTGCACATGGCTTGGTCCTTCGACAGGAGAATTCATTTTCACACTTGCCGCAACCCGCTGCAGCGATGCGCGTCTGGAGGGTAGACGCTCGAGCGTCGACCTAAGGCTTGGCAGGCTTTCCGCACGAATGGCTCGGGGCAACATGCCCGTTCTGTTCGGGAGCTTCCTCCTCCTCCTCCTCCTCCTCCTCGTCCTCCTCCTCCTCCTCCTCCTCCTCCTCCTCCTCCTCCTCCTCCTCCTACTCGCTCCTTTTCCTCCTCCTCCTCCTCCTCCTCCTCCTCCTCTTCGTTCTGCTCCCTCGTCCCCCTCGGAGCGCTTGGCGGCGGCACCCGCGCGGCGCTTGGCGGTGGCGGCCCTCCCCCCTCCGCGGGCGGGCGCGGGCGGCGGCGCTGCGCGGCGGCGTCCTGTGTGGGAGCGGGAGCGCTCTCCGCGCCCAGGAGGGGGAGGTGGAGGGAGGGGAGGAGGGGGGGGGATGGTCGGAGGGGGTGATTGAGGGGCAGTCGGTCGGACTCGACACTGCAGCAGTCTGCGCGCTCACCCCGAGAGTCACTGGGTCACTGGGGGGTGCACTTGTTGCTACCGTCATCGTTCCCAACGAAAGGAGGGATGGAGAGAGGGAGGCGGGAGAGGAGGCAGGGAGGCCGCCCTCTGTGCCAACCTCATGTGGCTGGAGGTATCGCTGTGCGAACAGGGTGGGGAAACTACCCTCCCCCCTGGCGCGGTTTGTGGGGATCCCGACTGGAAAGCAGGAGCGGGGCATGGGATGCTCGCCCCTTCTCTGCACACCCGCAAACACAGAGACATTGGGTGCACACGCGCGCTGGCATGCGTGATGCTGCGCCCTGGCACTCGCGACGTCGCTATGGGGCAGCCCTAGCAGCGGTCCAGCAAGAGGGCAGCGGAACGGGGGCGAACAGTTCACGAAATCCAGAGTGAGAGACAGAAGCGAAGGTCAAGGGAGACAGGCCCGGCAGGGGAACAGGAGGAGAAATGGATGTATGAAAGGGTATTAGGGAACGCATACCCGCGCTTCGCGCCGCCGCGCTCCTCCCGGGCAAACTGCGCTGCCCGTCGACAGGGGAAAGGAGGGGAGGAGCAGGCCGACGACGACGAGCGCGCAGGCGGGAGGCCAGTGCCGGCGGGGCGGGAGGGCAGGCGGAAAAGGGGGGCCGGGCGGAGACAGAAGGCCAGGAGCAATAAGGACGAGGAGGAGAGAGAGGAGGCAACCGCAAGCAACCAAGGCATGGAACAAAAGGAAAAGGAGGAAAAAGGAAGGAATACGAGGCGGAGTAGTGGGGAAGCAACCGCAAACGAACAGGCTGGGCCAGAGAGAAGAGCCACCCGCGACGAGGTGAAGGACCCTGCGGCGACGACATGGGCGGGGTGGCCGACCGAACTAAACGCGCGGCGGCATGGTGGGGAGAGCCCCTTCCGCGGGATCACCCGCCTTCCCGCCGCGGAAAGGCCAGACGGCGCGTGTTTCGGGTCGTGGCGACGGCGCGGGGGCGTCCGTGCTGCCCAGCACCGGCCGAGGAGGGGGCGGGGAGCGTTGGCATCGCCAGGGGGTACTCACACGGCGTCCGCCGCGGAGGCAGCCGCATTCGCGGCCAGGCTGGCCGGGGCCAGCCCCGCCCCTCCAGACTGCGTCTGGTGGCGCCACAACATTGCCCGCGCGTTTTCCTAACGCAGGTAGAACGGAAAGTCGTTCGGCGTGCTGGTCCGTATTAAGTGTGGCAGAGGCCCCGACGGCCCTGGCGTGCCTCGCGGCCCCGACCCCCGCCGTGGGCCCCCACCGGATAGGATGGTGAAAGCCTTGCGCCACGCGCCTCGCACTGCCGCGCGGTTTCCTGGCGTTGTTTTGTTGAGCTCCTCGTGCCGCTCCGTCGCCGCGCTGGACGAAGCGGCCGACGCGGCGAGGAGATCGGCGCGCAGCCCCGACGTGGCGGCAAAATGCCAGGCGGCCGCCATACCGCTGCGCTGCCGTGGCCGTCCACAGGGCGGCGGCCGTTGTCGTCAACCTGGGGCCCGCCATGCTCGCCCCCGGGGTGGCTTCCCTGGCGGGGCGCGGGGGTGGCGGCCCCGGGCGTTCCAACTCCGCCATGGCCTGGCCGGCGGCCAGGGCGTCGAAAAATACCCGGTTGCGCAGGGCGCCGTGGCGCTTGGTCTGGTCGGCACGGCAGGCGCAGACCACGGCGCGTATGCAAAATACGTCCATCGTTTCGCCGCAAGCTGGGCAAATGCACTCCTCCTGCAGGAGCTGGACTCGCATCCGCCCCAACAGGCCGACCTGCATGAGGCCGCGCGGGAACGCGGCGCCAGTGGCCTCGCGAAGCGGCGCCTGCAGCCCCGCGGTAGCGCCCAGCACCTGCGCCAGGGAGAGGCGCGCCCTGCCTGCCGGCTAGGGTGGCGCCCGCCAGAGGCCCGAGCGCGGCGCTGTCCACTGCGTCGGATAGGGCCTTCTGGTCTCCATAATTATTGCGCGGCGCCGAAGGCCGCTTGGTCGGTGCCCCGCGGGATTGCGCCGCGGGCCTGCGCCGCAGCCGCCGGGCTGCCCCCGCCCGGTGCTAGCGCGGGCGCGCCGCGGCAGCAAGAAGAGCTCGGGGGCTATTCTGGAAGGGCGCCCCAGAGGAGGCAGCAGGCCGGATGGCCCGCTGAAGCCGTCCAAGGCCCTTCGTGCACGGCGGGGCTTTTCGCGCAGCGGAGTTGATTGGGGAGAGCGGCATTACTGGCGAGCCACGCCAGGGTCTTGCCTTCTTCACGCAGGCGTTCCATTCCGGGGGTTTGGTCACCCCAAGGTCGTTCTGCACCCCCGGAGCACCGTTACACTTTCTGGGGTCGGGGGACGGGGTATGGGTTGGGGGAATGGGTGGGGGGATGGGGCCGTCGCGCGCCGTGTTCGCAGGTGGAGCGCGCGCGCGCGCGGAGGAGCGGGCCGCCCGCGTGCGCTTCGCGCCGCGGCGGGGCGCGTGCGATGCGCGGCGCGCGAAAGTTGCCAGGGGCCGCGCAGGGCGCGGCGCGGGGAATAGGCCGTCGGTGATTATGATTGTTCGCGCGGGAGCGATTGGGCGAGATGGTTTGCTCGGTGGAGCAGCGCGTTGATGAGGGCCTTTTCCGCCGCCAGGTTGCCGCGCGGCCCCGCGCGGGGGTTTGCCCGCAGCCGGAACGCCAGACAGTAGAAGCGCCATGCCCTCTGCGCGCGTGGGCGCTTGGCCGCCCCGATGTTCCCCGCGCCCGGGCGGG